ATGCCTTGTAGCCCTGATCAGAAAAAACAATGCTGTTAGAAAATACCCTGTATCCCATGCATACCCAGCATACCATGCATTTGCATTAACCTATGATATACCAGCCCTATGGTCTTAGTCATGATGTTGCTGTAAAAGTGAGCCATAGCATGTCCCCCAGGGAACGTTTCCCAGGCCACCCTACTGTGCAGCAACATAATGGAAGGCAGGATGGATAGGGATGCCTTTGAGGAAATAAAACTCCGATTAGTCTTTCCTGTTCACCTCTCTGCCCCAGGCAGGCACTCAGTACTGTACTGGCTTCATATTAAACCAAAGCAACACCAGCAATCCCAAGTGGTTCTGTTTGTGACCCAGAAGATATTAACTTTCCATTCAGTAGCAGCAGGAACCTTGGGTGACTTCCATCAGCAACTGAAAATCAATCCCGGTGTGATCGCTTGTTGTGGTTTCATTTCCATTTTAACCATTTCACTCCTGTAGGACGGTAGAATATTCCTATGGGGGAGGTTATTCATAGAGATAAAGCCAGGCATAGGGATAAACATAGGCATTCACAAATGGAAGATCATTTCTTCTCATGCATATATATTAATATCATTTTGGTGAACACCTCTAAAAAGCATTGTGTGCTCTAAAAAGCAATGTGCTCAAAAGGAACGTAATGAAAATGAAGGGTATGTTAGAGAAAAGAGCATCCAAATAATAAAAACTGCAATGTCCCCTTATTAAAATGTGCTTGGCTACATGTAATTTTGACAAGGGAATTGGTTCTTCTATTTAATGTAAATTAAATGCGGACAGTTAGCTGGGTATTTAACATAGAGATATTTCAGTTGCATTTCATAAAGCTCAGGCTGGCTTTGGAATGAATAATTTGTCCAATTAGATTTTTTTTTTCATTTTTTAATGGAATCTGGCTGTCCTCTTATCTATCTTCCTGGTTTAAAAATGGAAATAATGGAAATAGCCCTATTAGAAACCAGAGGCAATATCATTAGTGTAAAACTGGTGTCAAGTTTATGAGAATAAGGTGGAAAATATCCCTGGGTTAATCACAAGTTTCTAAGCTGATTTTCGTTATTTGGACTTCAGTTGATGATAATGCCCACAAATTGAACGACTTCTGCAGTTTGTTTGAATAGACTCTAGACCAAAACTGTGAAGCTTGGCTGTGGCTGGTCACCCAATTCTGGTGATAGTGATTCTAGCCCTACAGCTGTTGTGTTTAAATATTTTCTGGGGGGCTAGTTCTGCCTCAGCCAGGGAATTACTTTCAAATGTGATTTGGGCTCTGATAAGTAAGATGAAGCTGATTGCTGACTTGGGGTGGCAACAGAACCAATCAGTTTCCCATTTTTAATTTAAAAATCAATGATATCATGGTTGCTAGGCTCCTGGTAGAGGAATTTCAGCTTTTTCTCATCACTTTATTCACAACGAAAATTCCCAAATTATCTCACCCAGAGAGATTTTTAAATTTCTATCCTTCTATCATTCATGAAAGCATTTGTATTTCTGTATAATGTTTCCGAGGGCAGGCTTGCAATTTTTATAGCTTACAACATCTCCTTGAGGAAACCTTCAAAATAGTCTTTTACAAGAGGGAGAATGTAAATTTAGGCATAGAAACATGTTTCTGTGGTTAAGATTTTACCTAGTGTCAGCTGATCCACAGTAATCATTTCTGTGTATGCCCATAAAATGTAAAATAATTGGATCGAGTGTTCTTTTAATGTAGATAAAATGATCCTAAATTATCTTACCTTTACTATGGGCTAAAAGTGTGTACATGTATTTATTTGGGATCAGATGACATTTCTAATTAGTTTATGTGTCTGAGGTATGCCGGTCAAAAAAAGGAAAATTTGGGATTTGAGCTTGTGCAGCACCCACAGCGAGTCCTGCCTTTGTGCTTGTAATCCCTTCCACCCTCTCCTCGAGGACATTAACTTTGGCACTAGTAGGAAGCTGCAGTCATGGGATTGATTTTCATTTTGTTTAAGGATCACATAGATCAAAGGACGCAAGGAAAACAACAGTGACATCAATACAAACTTTAACAAGCTACTCTTCAAACTCAATTGACAATATAATATGAATGGAATAGAAAATCTTTATTCTGTACTGCTGGTGCTTATTTGTGTGTCTGTTTCCTAATTTATTTGGGCTTTGTGTGCTGAGATAGCGGACCTCCTATTCTTAGAAACTATAAACAGTCTGGAAATTCTTACAAAAATTGGGATAGAAATAATGGCTCTGAAGTGATAAATAATTACAGGCCTTCGAGACCTATAGTTTATCAGATTACATTTTTTTTTCAGGCAGTTTTGATGTGATCTTGCATCCATATAAACATCTCTGCCACTTCTGGGTTTTCTCATAAGTTTTTTGGAGGATTGATAATTATCCTGCTCATTGTATATTTTGCTTTTCTGCAGGTCCATTTGCTTTCCAGTAGTCTCTGGGCACAACCAAGATAACTACCTATTTCAAAGAACAGAAGAAATTTTCCCCTTTAAGCTTTGCTGTTGATAGCAAAGGTTACCAAGCTGAGTTATTTTCAGTGAAATTTTGGCAACTGTTTCTAAAGCTTCTTCACACAGAAAGGAAGGACCAGATCATTGGGCTGTGGTATGGACTTTAGGGAAGACAGACTCTTACACTAGAGGCCACTGCTGTGCTTTAGGTAGGACAGCAAGCTGCATATTCATCGAGTGTGTTATATGATACAACAGGGAGCAGTGATCACTGTGTAATCATCACGAAGCTGCTGCAGTGCTGAAGGGATGGGATGTTCCAGTTTTGGGATGTACTGGGGGGATCCAGAGGATCCAGGCTACTGGCAGCTTGGGTCTGCACACACCCATCAATCCTTACTGCCTTCTGAAAATCCACATGGGAGAAATTAATTCTTCTACACAGCTCTACTGACAGATATAATTGTCACAAGAAAGAGAACACAGAGACAATGCAGAAGAGTTCCTTTAAACTGCTTCTAATTACCTCTTAAGTCATTTTTCTGTCAATGCATTAATTTGCCTAAGACTTAGAGTGGTAGCGCTGCTCAAAAAAGTCATTACCACCTTCCTTCCTCCCAGCCCATTGTAGGATATTGTTCCTTCAGTCCCTTCTCCTCATTCCTTTGGTTCTCCTTCTCCTTATATAAAGAACTATTATTAGATTTTATTGAGTCCTCCTGATGTAAAAGAAACTCCAGAGCCTTGCCTGGAAGTCACTCATCAAGAGCTTTAACTCTTGGAGACATGTGAAAGCTATTTCAATCTGGTTTATTTTATAACTTGGTCGTGCCATCCTGGGACCTGGCTGCCTCATGCAAGGAATGTCGTGCCTGCCTCACTTGTTTACACATTGCCAGGCTGAGCTAGGGAGGATTTAGCTCAACATTGGCCAAAAACACTTCGTCAATGAAGGTTCTGCAGGATATAAAGGTTGTCAAGACGATGGCCAAGCAAGAAGTAGTTTATTTTTCATTTAAGTGCTGCTTAGAAAATTACATGTTTAGCACTGTTCTCTGACAGCTTCACGTGATTTCATCAAAAAATGGGTCTGTACACTGACTATCTAGTATGTCACATTTGGGTTCTGAGTTCTGTAAGTATCTGTCTTGTGGCTAGAGACAAAGGTCATGTTACTGCCTCAATAATATTTAATTATTTAGTCAAAGTGGAAAAGCTCTGACTAAAGTGTTTAAAAAGACCAACACTGGAGTAGTGCACATACTTGAGAATTAAGAGACTGAAATTAATATCCTTAAATTGGAAAGGTAAGATCCAACCTCCTTACAATCTTCTCTTTATTAATTATCTCTACTGGCAGCCTACAAGCCATGCTGGAATGATGCCTACCTGGACCAAAAAGGCCCTTCTGGCATAAGGAAATCCGAAATGAAGCTGCTACATCCCGAAGAAAAATGTTTGTGTTGGACTAATTAACATTTTTGCATTGAAAAAGATCACCAGAAAATCCTGACCTAGTCCTCTGTTCAACATCTGCCTGCTGCCTCTTGCTTATTAAGTCCTTTGATACCATGCAGCTGCAGGCGCACCCTGTGCCCTCCCAGGAACTTATCTACAACCAGAATTGTACTACAGGGTCACTGGTGTTTCAGGGAGCGAGTTAGGCTCTGGGTCATGAAAGTCCTGTAAAGAAAGGGGTATGTGGAGCAGTGCAATAGCACCTGGAGCAAATAGCCCCTGAACGGCACCAGGGAGCAGCAGCTGGGGGGCAAGCAGGGCTCCAGGGCTTGGCTTTGCTCCCTGGTCTTTGTGGCGCAGCAGGGGAGATGCCCCTCGCACCCACACTCTGCCATGGGGTGCTGCCTTTGCGGCTGGGATGCTGCAGAGGTTTTGGGGCCAGCCAGCTGAAAAACGCCGTCGAAGCTCGCGAGGCCTCTCCACCTGCCCCTAATATCGTGTGTATCTTCCGTTCGTTGTCAGCGCTCGTTAAGACCGAGGGCATTTCTCTCTCTCTCTTGCTCTGCCGTCGCCGTGTCTCCGATTTCACTGGAACGGAGCCAAGCAGAGATGGGTCCACGCGGGGTCTGGAACGGATCAGCGGGTCAGCTGGCAGTGCCTGTCAGGCAGCCAGCGCTCCCTCCCTTCTCTCTGGCTTTCTTTGAGGTTTGTAGCTCTTCTGCTTTCTTGTTGCTATTGCCACCCTCCCCGCGCTCCCCCTGCCGCACACCAAGCACCCAGACCTTTCCCGAGCACTTTCCTTAATCCCCAGGATTCTTTATATAGGAATTAATCTTCTCGTCACAGTGGGAGAGCTCAGAGGGAGGGGGTACATTTATCTCTCCTGCCGAGGTCTAGAGTTGCATTGCTGTGATTATTGGTGCTAGCAGCGTGCGTGTGGCTGCGGATCTGTGTTTAGCTTCTTCGTTTCTTAAACGGCACAGGGGCAGCAGGAAGGCAAGTTGGCAGCTTTGCTTTCTAGCCGCGTTGTGCCCGCTGCTAGAAAGGGAGTGTGAGTGGGGAGCAGCATGGCAGAGCAAGAAACCAGTAGCTTGCAAGTCCTTCTCTCCACCCTCCAGGTAAGAACGGCTCGAACTAACAAGAGAGGTGCTTGGGCTTGTTTTCCTCCTTAATTCACCAGCAGCAACTTGTTGGGCTGAGGCTGTTGGCACAAGCTGCCTTGTCTCTGAAAGCATCAGAGCGCAGGAGTCCTGCCCTGCACCTCCCACCCTAAAAACACCTTTATGAAATGAAGTTCTATTTGGCGACGATCATTGGCGATTACTGCTACGCATCAGTCACGGAGCCCAGCGCGAGGCAGAGCGGCGGCTGCGGCGCTCGCGGCGCGCTGAGCCAGGCAGCGAGGGAGGTGTGAGGAGTATCCCGCTCTGCCGCGATGGGAGCTGACAGCGCTGCCACCGCACACAGCGTCACACCGAGGGCTACGGGGAACGAGCAAACAGATCTGTCTGGAGGCAGCTAGTTCCCCCGTCAGACTGTCTTTAGCATGACCCCCATGCGCTCGGAGGGAAGCGTCACAAGGTGCCGAGGGTGAGCGTGGTGCTGGCGCTGCGTGCGCTCAGGATGTGCTCCCAGGGAGCACAGGGCAGGGTCCTGGTCCAGGACCGTCCGCCTGCTTTGAGATGAAGGAGAGGTGGTGCTTCTCCAGCCTGCAGGAGGTCTCTGCTTGCCGCCCGGGTGGATGTGCTCCTGCCGGTCTCGCAGGCCAAGATGTCTAAGCTGAGGCATGAAATGGGCTGCATGTTTCGGGAGGGGATCTCGTGCTTTCAGGAGTTGTCACTTTGTCATGAGCAGTACATGGGAATTGCTTCGCTAAGGTGGGCTGCTTGCATAAAAGCAGCTTTTTAAAGAAGCACAGGAAAATCCCATTCCTCCCTGTTTTTCAGGGTGCCCTGACTCCCAGCACACGCAGCTCCAAGCAGGTCAGCGCTCACAGACACGAGCTTCAGGTAGTGGTTCTGCACGGAGCCTTCCACTTTCCTTTAGCTACTCTTTGCCTCTGCCACAACCTCACATTACCAGAAGCGACCCAGACAGCGTAACAGTGATAGGACGTGTAAAATAGACATAGCCTCCTGGATCAGCGCAAGGGTTTATGTCTCCCAGACCTGGGTCTTTGAAGACATCTGCAACCAGTGACAAGTGTTTAGAAAGGCTATAAAACCCCCGATACGTAATTGGCTTCTAAAGTGTAGTTGTGTGGGCTGATCAGCCTTGACGTTTTTATCCAAGCTTATATAACTGTCAACAACTTTTATTTCTCGTATCATTGTCAAACCCTGGTTTGTCTTCCATGACACCCTGTGGCAGCAAGTTCTGCAACTAAACTGGCATACTGGGGAAATCATTTTACCATCTTTTTTCCTTTTCTTCTTTTCTTTTCTTTTCTCTTTTCTTTTCTTTTCTTTTCTTTTCTTTTCTTTTCTTTTCTTTTCTTTTCTTTTTCCATTGTTATTATGGCAGTGTAAGCTTCCTGTTCTCGCAGTGTATTTCATGCATGTTTTACACCGGACAGTCTTTGCTATATCCGAGTTACTGTTCTCATCCTATTACTTTGCCTAATTGAAGGACGAGTGTACATTTCTTCCATTTTTTCTCTCTCTCTTTTTTTTTTCCTTCTGCTCTCTAACATTAACAGTCCTGATGCTCTTTTTGCATAAACTGGGAACCAGCTGGATAAGGCCCAGGATTAAAATAAGAATGAGCTTAAGATCAGCTGCAAGTCTCATATCTAAAATTTCTGTATGCCTTTGCAGAAGACCAGTAGGCTTTCTTATTAAATTCTCTGTATGATAAAGAGTTTTGGGTAATAGCAGACAGTAGGGTAAGTTGCTGAGGACAGTTACAACTCTGGTATGTTCCAGTTCCCCCCTCACCCAGCCGAAACATTACCAGCATGAGTCTGCAATGCCATCCCCTACATCCGCTCCAAAAATCTGGTGATAAAAAGGATGTTTACTTCTTGTTGGAAAATACTGCCCTGGGAAATAATAACTTTTGTTGATGTTTGAATTTGCTGATAACAACTCTCTGCACTTTGTTATTTTCTTTAATAGTTGCCCCAAACGCAGTTGCTTTGTTTCTGTACTCTGTTGAATTGTCAGTGCTGGTTCGTGCTATTTTATTGGGCATGAAGAACATCTCTGCTGCATCTATCAGACTATCCTGCAGGATACTGTTATGTATTTTCCATCTATTTTAGCACACGAGATTGCTTTATACACAGAAAGCTTCCAGCTGAGGAATAAGAGAACATTTAGCCACAAAGCCAGCCTTTATGAACCTGAGTAAAATCATCCTTTCTCCTTCAATCAGCCACTGAAGGATAGATTTCCCCCTTGGTTCCAAGCACTGGCACAGATTATTACTCTCAGCTTGAAGGATGTCCCCACCTGAGATAAACTCTGTCACCTTCAGCCCAAGGAAATGATCCATCCCATCTTCTCTCTGCATTTTACTCCCAATCTTGCAACTTGACTTTGGTAAACGTGGTATCATTCAGACTTGCACATTATAACAGCATTTCTACTCCAGTCCAAGGAGGAAACATATTTTGTTTCTGAGTTCTTCAAAAAACTGTTCCCAGTGCACTGAGGGAGCATGATCCTCCAAAGACAGCCCAAGCCTGTGAAAACACAACTTATTACAGATGCTTGAAAAAGTGACAAGATGAAAAGCAAAACCTGTTTCAGAGTGCAGCTGCATTTTGCCACCAAAATGTCACTGCAGGAAAGATGCGACATTTCAGATCTCTAGGTAAGAAGTGGTTCATTGCTTACAAGGTGCAGCTTTTAAGTGCGAATTTCAGATATAATAAAAACCTTACCCTGTTTCACAGGTTTTGTGTCAGTACTGCACAGAGAAGCACTTATAAGTTTGCTCTTGTTTCTCATCTTGCTTTTAATATGGTTATCTTCTTCTTTGTTCTCTCTTCTTGACTCTCTGTATCCAAAATACTGCTATCACCTCCTGTTTCTCTTGCTTGGATGGTGTTACCCAGTTCCGTTCCTGCTCTTACTGCACTATATCCTATAGTAACACCTAATCCAAGCAAGGAGTTGGTTAGCATTCTTCACACTGTGCTCTGGCCACAGCATGGCAAAATAAACATCCTTCCTATCTGAAGTTTGTGATTGGAGAAAGAACATCTGACATCCCGTTTTACAGGCAGCCTCCCTAATGCCAAATCTTAGGAAGATTTGGGATTAGATTCTTCTTTTATTCTAATGCCAGAAGGAGTTCTCTGGGCATTAGTTAAAGAAGCTATTAGTAGCTAAGCAGAACAATAGAAAATTGAAGCCATTATCTTGCTGATACGATGTCCCAGATTGTTGAATTACTTGAGATTTTAGAGGATTCTAGGTTTTGTTCCTGGTTTTGTTGGCCCTCATCTCACTCCATTCTTTAACTGGTCAGCTAAATAAGAAGCAGCTCTTCCAGGGTTTTCTCCCCACTTTCTTCCTTGCTTGTTAGACCCAGGCATGAGCTTGGCTACTCCCGAGAAGGTTTCTGTACTCCAGGAGAGCATATACTGTGTTGCAAGGAGTCCACGTTTCCTGCTGGCTCTCAGCACGGTGTTCACATGCTTCTCAAAGCCTCAACCCCTGTGTGGACATGCTGCTAACCTGGCAACCCTTGGGGCTTTTGGCAGATCTTTGGCTCAAGCTTTGTCCTACTGTATTGGACTGTGAAGGTTCCCAAATGCTACAGTTCAAAAGTAAAGAGGTGAAAATCTTACATATCAATGAAGGATGTGGTTTGTATGGAAAGGTTCTTGCCTGAATGAGCATGTGGCCAGCAGGGAGCAGATACAGGATCCTCTGTTTGCTCCCTTGGATCTCTCTGCTCCTTCATGCCGCTGCTAGGATTGCTTGGCTGGCTGGCTGAGAGGGTGGTTATCCTAAAGTCAAGTGGGAAAATGTCTGTGCTGCTCTAGGGACAAAGACTATGGACACATTTTAGAAAATGCTGTTGTCTCCTCTACATCCCTTCACTTATCCTGTTGGTGGAGCTCACAGGATTCCTGGATTTGGGCAAAGCAAATGCAAAAGCCTGAGAAATGCTGAGAAAGAAGAATGCTCACTGGTATGGACAGCAGGTGAAGGAGTTCAGAGTCTGGAACTCTCTTTCTGGAAGGCAGCCCAGCAGGCAGGCTTAGTGGAATACACTTAAGAGGTAAGAAAAATCAGAACTCAATACCAGATGGCCTTTTATGCGGTTCATTAGCTGGGTTTTATTGAGAATGTCATGTGAAAAGTGAGCAGTAGACTGTACTTAGTGTTCTCCCTTTCTTTTAAAATAAAAATATCCTGGCTTTGCAGCACCTAAAACAGGTGCAGTTAGCTCAGTGAAATATTGGGTTTCAGAGGACAACCCATCACTGGGAAATACTGGATGCTCCAGCAACACTTTCCTGTCTCTGTTGCCTATGGCACTTACGCAGTTCATGTGCATTTCTGGTTTAGCGGTAGAAGGAAAGGAATAAGTTTGGAGATAGTTCAGACCCTCCCATCCCACCTTTCAAGTCACCTCAACTGTGATGTTGTCCCTGTCCAAAGAGAACTTAAACCCAGAGCTCATCCCTGCAATTCCTGGTTTGCTACCACAGTGCACAACTAAACAACAGGAGGCCTCGCGTTTACTGTGAGGAAAGGAGGCTGGTACCTGTATGTTGGCCCCAAACTCCTGCCAGGCTGCAGAAGAAATGTTGACATTTGGCACTCCTGCAGATCAGTGCAGAACACTAAAGGCCCTAGGAGAAATCCGAGGCACGTTCTGGAATCTGCTGAAACCTTTCCACCCGCTGAACCGGGACCAGCGCTTCCCGCTGTCCCCAGGCTGCCCGCAGCTGTTCCCTGAGCACGCGGCCAGGGCCCCTGGAAATGCCTCCACTGGCCACCCAGAGCCTGCTGTGGCAACGAGGACACGGGGCCGTGGAGTGGAAAAAGCACCCGGAGAAGAATCAGAGCAGCAGCATCCGCCCATGCGCTGGGCAGGGGTATGTTGAATTATAGCCATGGAAAGTCTCTCATTCCTGGAGACTGCCTGCTTCCCTGGC